GAACGATCTTCCTTTTGGAGTTGTCGCTAGGTTGTCAGGCGTCTTCCTGGGGTTCGCAGTGGGATATGTTGAGTCTTAAGTATGGTGCATGGAGTAGATACCCCATAATGTATCCAACTACCAAAGCACTAATTCCAAATCTCGCTACAAGCTCAATCTATTAGTAACTGCAATCGTGACCATAGGCCAGCTATTATTGTTGAGTGATCCTCGGACCCATCCATCTATGGATCGCTCAATTGACTAGATTGATAGTTTCTGACACTAACTGCAGTAAGACTGACAGTTCTCTATCTAAGAGATATGGCAACCAAGTCACATATCTGTCTGTCAAGGTCAATCTCAATCTCATCATAACTTAGAGGGACATTGTTCGGCATATAGCTATCAGAGCCTGTGCAAGTTCGGCGCTCCCCGCTTGCTGATAAGACGGGGGAATTTTACACAAACAGCACCTGTCAGCTACGGAGGTTCTTATCACCTCCACACAAGTCAAATGTGGCAGTTCCACATTGAACGACACTAACCATGGTTAGTKGTCAGTCCGCCAGTGCAGATCGCCTTGTATTCCCAGGGAGTGGGCATCGTTCGCTAGCTATCTATCGGCTAAACGAGTAGCTGGAATCATTCCACGCGACGCGAGAGATAACCGACCGCCAGAATTATTCGATTGATTCACGCATCCTGATTCTATCAGCTTTGATAGAGCCGTGTCGCTGTTACGCTTTTAGCATCCTCATCTAATCTCTCCATTTTCGCAAAATGCCCATCTTATATAGGACGCACTGGTTCCGGTCAAATTGCGGGAGCAGAATCCCCAGACTAGGTCCTGATCTGCTCCATTTTGTTCGGTCAAGATTGAGTCATTGACCGATTTCGGGGACTTTTCTTCCCCGCACATTGTGTGTGCCACAGCAGCAGAACAAAGCTCAGAACCAGCTATTATCTTGCACTCCACATTTCACAGTCATTGCGAATAATAGTAGACTTGAAATCTCGTCCTTACGAAGGGCCGTCGGCACACACCTTTCGTTACCTCATCCACCATGGACGGTCCCGATCGAATCGGTCCTGATCACAGTCCCAGGCGGGCTTTCCGCGATCAAGCTCGACGGATTGTGAAGACATGGACCACCAAGTAAGTCGGCTAGGAGCCCTCGTGCCTATCTCCGATCATCTTTGTATGCTAATCCATGCATGCTTAACAATAGAGAAGGATTGGTTGGAGACTACAACTACGCCTACCTCTTCACACCAAGAATCCCCTTTACCAAGAACATCAGAAGGACGGCGCCTTTCTTTGGACTGCACGACAGATTACCTGTGCTACTTGCCTTCATTCTGGGTCTTCAACATGCTCTGGCGATGTTGGCTGGAGGTAAGCTCAGAGACGTTACCCATCCGACTGCCACTGATTAATGGTTACAAGTCATATCTCCTCCCATCATCTTGGGCGGTTCTAGCGGCGCCAACTTCGGAGATGCCGAATACGAGTACCTCGTTTCCACGTCGTTGATCGCCTCCGGTCTGCTTTCCGCTATTCAGATGGCCCGCTTACGCATCTGGAAGACTCGATATTTCATTGGTACTGGCCTGATATCGGTCGTCGGCACCTCCTTCGCCACCATTACCGTCGCATCGGGAACTTTCTCTCAGATGTATGCGTCTGGATACTGCCCCACTGATACCAATGGCAACAAGCTGTCGTGCCCTAGAGGTTACGGAGCAATTCTGGGCACCGCTTGCTTGTGCTCTCTACTTACGATCGGCCTGTCCTTCATGAGCCCAAGGATCTTAAAACGCATTTTCCCGCCTATGGTGACTGGCCCTACGGTTCTGTTGATCGGAGCAAGCCTCATCGAAAGTGGCATGAAAGACTGGGCTGGTGGCTCTGGCTGTGGATCGGACCCATCTGCCCGTGCTTTGTGTCCCAGTGCTGGTGCGCCACATGCCCTCCCCTGGGGAAGTGCCGAGTTCATCGGCCTCGGATTCCTGGTTTTCGTGACGATCATCCTTTGCGAGCGGTTTGGCTCCCCTATGATGAAATCATGCGCCGTCGTGCTCGGTCTCCTGGTCGGGTGTATCGTGGCAGCTGCCTGCGGCTATTTCGACAGATCGGGCATCGACTCTGCGCCCGTTGTCTCATTCATCTGGGTCAAAACGTTCCCATTGACTATATACGCGCCTCTGATCCTTCCCTTCCTCGCCCTCTACATTGTTATCATGATGGAATCGATCGGTGATATCACTGCGACATGCGACGTCTCCCAGCTCGAAGTCGAAGGTGCCGAGTTTGATTCACGCATCCAGGGTGGTGTGCTGGGCAATGGATTGACCTGCCTACTGGCTGGACTCTTCACCATCACGCCCATGTCGGTCTTTGCGCAGAACAACGGTGTCATTGCTCTGACAAAATGCGCCAACCGCAAGGCCGGCTACTGCTGCTGCTTCTTCCTCGTCGTCATGGGCATCTTTGCCAAGTTCGCTGCCGCCATCGTGGCCATTCCCAAGCCTGTCCTCGGCGGCATGACCACGTTCCTGTTCTCGTCCGTCGCCATCTCCGGCATCCGCATTATCTCCACGATCCCATTCACCCGCCGCAACCGGTTTATCTTGACAGCGTCTTTCGCGGTCGGTATGGCCGCTACGCTGGTGCCCGACTGGTTCTCGTACTTCTTCACCTATAGTGGCGATAACCACGCCCTGCAGGGTTTGCTGAACGCTGTAGAGCTCGTTATGGAAAATGGATTTGCAATCACCGCTGTTATCGGGTTGATCCTCAACCTCGTCCTGCCGGAAGATCCCGAAGACGAGGCGGCCATCATGGAGGCTACCGCAAGCGATGCGCCGTCGGAGGAGCTGAAAGGTTCGGATCCTCCTTCGTTCAAGACAGGCCAACCTTCTGGCTCTCAGGCTGTATGATTAGTCATGTTATGCTGCAAGGCTGAGGAGGCATTGCCCGTGCGTCATGTCGTGTTGATGTTCTTTCTGGATACCCTTCTTTGGCACTGTTTCCGAAGATATATAATTCAAACCATGATCTTCAAGCATTACTCTATTACTATGATTCCGCCTCTAAATTCGTAGCATGACAATAATTCGCCGTTTCCAGGTAATGAGTTTCACCAGCTGACCTACACCCCTTCTACAATTTCGCCCGGTTTCAGCATCTTGATATAGCAATGCTCGCCCGTCTCTAACACGGAGACAGTATCGCCTACGCGAATGACGAACTCTATCGACAGTTAGTAAATCGACCTTTCATCGTCGGAACGGTACTAACCCTGTACAGCAGGAACACACTGCATCCCCAAACACGCATTTGTCGGATCCCCAGGGTCAATCCGCCTATAGCTCTTCAGCGTTCTGTCCGGCTCAGACACATGCCGGATGCCCGTGACAGGATCAACATTTGGCAGCCGACAGCGCATCGTCCGACAGGAGACATGTATCTCGACCCCGGCGTCACCTTTATCCCCCGTTGGTCGAATCAGGATGCGCTTCCAGTGATCCTCCGCAAACGCCTTAGGCCCTTGGACGATGATGTTCGCCCTGAACCGCCGCACCGAGAGCCGGGGGATATCCCGTGCACATCGCGCCGCAACGTCATGGACACTCGCGATGTTGAGAATATGCAAGGGATACGCATCCGCGAACCCTGTCACAGGCTGGAATCCCAGCGTCTCTTTGCGAGGCGCATTGCGGAAGACCTGCCGGTGGTGCGTGGGGTCAACACGGAAGAGGGTGAGAGGACGAGAGACCGCCGCGTCGGCGTCTGGGGGAGCTAGAAACTCCCGCAGGGATTGCGGAAGATGCCCGCCGTAGTCGTAGGCCACCGGGGTATCTTTCCAGATCTTCACCGGGACGGAAGGGAAAGCGCTGGCGCGGTCTGGTGGCGGCACGAGCGGAACACTGAACGACAGCTCCCGGGGCACCAGACGCAGGGTTACCCCCAACCTGACCAGGTATGACGAAAGACCTCGACCAGCTGGTCGTGGGTAGTACATGACCATCACACCCTGAGACCGGACCTCGTCCAGATCAGGAGCGTAGTCGGGGGCAGCGGGATCAGGGACCCAGATCTCAGGCCGGATGAGCGTCAGCCGGCTGTAATGGCCATTTCGGAGAGTCCGCGCATCCCAGTATGGCTGCGCCTTCCCATTGTTGGCGCTCGCTTGGTCAGGCGTGAAGTGTTCCKCGAAGCAGAACTGTCGGTCGAACGCGAATCCGGTCGAGACGACATCGGCGACGTCTAACTCCACCGCAGCGCAGCTTTTAATGGGATGAGTGAAGAGAGCTTTGATACGCCATGAAGGCTTGCCTTTGTCATCAACATCGCTTGAGGTTCCCTGGCCATACCTGGGGTCGAATTCGTCGTGGAGATTTGTGTGGCCTGGTGGTAGACCTAGCCTGCGGCATCCTCTCGGCTGCGCTGGATGGACGGACCCAAATTGGCGGGCAATGAAGATAACTATGGGTAATATGGAAAGCAGCGACAAGGCTGTAGTCGACAGTAAAGCTTTCACAGCATCTTGTTGGAAGTTGGTGAAGCTGAATGTAAGTTCACTCAGCATTGATGAGGTGTGCGTTACAAAAAGCCTGAGTCACCAGCAAAATGCAAACTCAGCAGCAGTTGTAAAATACTCAGATCTTCCCTAATAGTGAACTTGTTTGTATATTGAATCTAAGAGTATAAGTATTCGAAGCAACGAAATAATTGTGGAGATGAGTCAATCCATCGGGGAGGAATCGGAATCCCTTCGTATCCACAATCAAAAAGTCTCCGCGCTGGAGTTGGCGCATCTGTTGATACTATCATGACCAACCATCAAATTTGGTAGACAGCAGCCGAACATATGGTTCAGCAAAGGTCGGACAACGTCAAGCTGGCAGACTAGAAAAATGCAAGATCTGGAGTGCAGTAATGCCCTACATCGTCAGTTTTCCCTCCTTCCTAAATCTGCCACCTTGAGTCTGATCCCCGCCTGTCAAGTGCCACGATGACCACGCAAGATATCCTCGGTCTGTCCAGTCAAGATCCTGGTAGGTTATTGGATCCGTAATTTTTCCGTGGTATATTGCTGATTTATGTCGTAGGTCGCGTCATTTCATTCCCTGCATCGCAGTATCTACACGCGTCTACCGCGTCCGCAGTCCCTAGTGCAATTTCAACAGGACTCCCGCTGCTTGACCAGGCAATCAGCCCGGCTCCGTCAGATGAGCCTTCACAGTCGTCGAATGATGCGACGCTGGGGGGAATTCCTTGTGGTCATGTCACCGAGGTGTTCGGGCCACCTGGTGCAGGCAAAACGGCGCTGGCGTGAGTTTCACCGCAGACGAACTGACTATCTGTGAACCAATAAGCCTAACCTTGACCATGTATCTCAGAATGAGCATAACTGCAAACGCTCTATGTGACGGTGGTAAAGTGGTTTGGATTGGTACGACATTTTTGACCCTTCGAGATTATCGCTGACCGTTTAGATACTACCTCGCCACTTCCAAAGCTCCGTCTAAAGAGCATGCTCACGCAGAGCCTCGACACAGCTAAATCGTCTGATACACCACAACAACTCATGGACAACCTAGTCTACTTCCGCGCTCAGTCCCTGCCACATATGCTAGCGCTTCTGCTCCACCCACCACAAGGATTCCCGCCCGAAAACACCAAGCTTCTGGTGGTCGACTCTGCGTCAGGGCCGTTCCCTTCGTACTTTCTGAGTCCGTCCGAGTTGAAATCCCGCTTGACGCAGGCGAAGATCACGGACAAGTCGCAGATCCATTGGCTCATGAACCGAAAATGGAACGTCACGAGCGAACTGGCAAATCAGCTCATGAAGCTGGCGGCTTCAAGACGACTGGCCGTGCTTCTCATCAACCAAACCCACACAAAGATCAAAGGGCTGCCACGTGCTACCCTGAGCCCGCTCCTTGCGGGTGGCGGGTGGGAGAATAGCGTGTACACCCGCATCGTCCTGTATCGCGATCTCCCGGCCGTTGGAGATGAAGAGTTAGAAATGGCTTCAAGGAGCGTCCGCTACGCAGAAGTCTTGAAGAGAGATGGCAAAGCATTGACAGTGAGATCAGATGAGAATATCGTACCGTTCACGATCGACTCGGTAATAATCACCCTATAGACAAATAGGATTGCGTCAACATCCGACTGACATGACGGAAACAGGACTCTCTACGTGGGACGGACACGACTCAGCCGTCCCGCGCTGTTCCACAGCAGCCGGTTGAGGAGACTTTCCGTGCGAGTGGGCGGAAGCGGAAAGTGGACGAGATTGCGGACAGTCAGGATGAGGACGATTCCGACGATGATTTTGGATGGATCGATGGCGACGATGCTGGCTTGGTCGAAGGGCCTGCCGATGACTGATGAACTCACAGTACACTTCCTGAAGGTCCTGACAGGAACCTCGCTGCTTGTTGCGCTTGGTCATTTCCATCGAGCTCAAGTTTTCTGAAGACATACAAGCGATCGTTGGAAGAGCATAACAACGACCTCACCATTATAAGCTATAATATGCTACAATTATCTCAAAAAGAGTCATTAACGTATCGACATGGCACCTCAATCATTACGGAGGATATTTGGACCGATGGCTCAAGCCATCCTTCGGTTACCCTCTTTATGGGACCGCTGCTCAACCCATGTTGAAAATTCGGTCATTGCCAGGATCTTGTTATCTGGGATTTGCCCAGTTAAACTCCCAGTGGCTGCCCTCTTCATCTTCTCGGCCTCGACGTTCTTGATCGCCGAAATCTGACATACGTTGACATCCCCATTCACACCTGGCTGAACAGTCCCATTGTTCGGGCCGGTATTGAATTCCAGCGAACAAAGGTGGACGGCATCTCTGCCTATCATGGGACGTCTATGTCCGTGTATCACATCAACGAGTCTGCCAAGGACGGCAAACTCCAACTTCAGCTTTAAGCTATATATCGCGCCTTTCAGTGTAATCTGGATAGCGTAGTAGCTGGCGTACTCGAGGCCCAACAGGGCCACATCCATCAGGACAATCAATATATTGATGCCCACGAGCTGGTGCATGATCCTCTGCTTATCCTTGTCCGATCCCAGCCGGAGCAGCTTGACCGTCTCCCATACATAGAGACCCGAGATGATCACCTCCTGTATCGTGAAGCCGGTCATCTGGAGCTTCTCCATGATATTGTACCCTTGCACGAATACAGGCGATCGATCGACAACATTGGATCCGTACGTCAGGACCGTGGTAGGGATATGCAGGAAGAAGATGTTGGCGATGATCATCACCAGCACCCGTCGCAGGATACGCTCATCGCGAAGAACAAGGTGCAGGCGCGAGTAGAGCACAAATGACTGCCCGGTCACCATTGTCCACCAGCCCACGCTGAGCATCGTGACCGACAAGGTGGAATTTGCCGAGGTAAAGAATTTGAGCAGGAATCCTAGCGAGTATGGGACGACCCCGAGACATCCGGAGAGAAGCAGACTCCAGAAATAAAGGCCTCTCCAACGCCGGAACGTCGATAGCACGAGCACGACGAGCTCAACGACGTTGTAGAAGGAGATGGCGCTAAAGATGAAGAGAGTCGCCTTGAGGCCGTCCCTGTGGTTCGCAAGCTCACCCGAGATACCGTCCAGTGGATCTTGAATGGTCGACATCTCACGCTTTATGTTGCTTTGGCATGGATGGTCTTGCTGAGTGTGTGGTTTAGGACATGAACATAGGCCAGGTCGCAGTACAAGAATCACAACTCACAGAGAATCAAACACGAAACTCAATCATTCGAGGCCAGTCTCCCGTATCTTTTCAGTGGGCTTTCCTCGCTCAGAAATCACCAACGCATCAAATCCAACCGTAGATGCCTGGTTCTATCCAAACAAACCCAGCGACCAAATATTCATGACAGAATGGACCCTCAAGTAGCGAACGGACAACATGTAATGTACCTTACCTGGACCAAGACACAGACGAAAAATTGAACAGCCACCCGGGGCATACCACGCACAGCGCTCCTCAACTGCTAGGGTAGTACAGATTGTTCACTCTTCCGTCGGAGGTAATTCTCCCCTTATTGCTGTGTACCCTCGATTCCTGCTTTCGACTTTCTCCCAGAGCAAACAATGATCGAATTCAACCGCATGCGTGTGATCGATGCGGGAAAGGATCCTGGGCCTTCCCTGCCTCCCGGCATTGCTTCGTGTTTTTTTGCGTCTAGGCCTAGATAGTCCGGGGGCCAAAGTTTACGTACGAAGTATGGCCAATCCTTCTGCGGGTAGCAATGCGATGGCGTCCTTCACCCAAACATCGGTGAGCTGAGAGATAAAAATGATCCGAACCTTGGTTATGCTTGATTGATGGCCATTGTGGGGGAAGGTCACTTGATTCAGCTACGGTAGGTACCATTGATGGGGAGGTACCTGGGTGAGGCATTTCGTGATTTAGGCTGCATTGTAGGACAGAATATGCATTGGCCCGTTTGTCGCCGCGTCGAGTCCCCATAGAGGTTACATGAATTGTGAGAAGAGCTGTTGGTGCTGGCATGATCCTTCTTTGAACTTGCCTTATGCTTGTAGAACGGGCCTTTCAAGTGCATCATGCATTTGGGGAACCATTTGGCAGTTACTGTATGTGCAAATGAGGCAACAATAGTATGCAGGCACTGATCGATATCTGATCCTACGTCTGAGAGGGTGAACGCATGCTTGCGATACTATCCTGGGATTAAACCGTACACTATACAGGAACGCCCTTATTTGCGCCAGCTGCACTTCATTCTCGTGGTTTATCTATGAGACTGCGCAAGTCACAGCGTACCTCAGTCATGCCTTGAGTGCCCTATCAGTGGTCGCAAGCTTCCCTGGAGCGTCCACTTAAACCCAAGGGGCAATGCTCGTAAGGATTTGGTCATTAGGTCGCAGGGACCTTGTAGAATTCAAGAATCGTCTATTATGCTACAAGGCTTGCCAGAGTTGAAAACAGTGCCAACAGAAATCGATCATAGATTGGTGAGATAATCTTCAATCTCCTCCTTGGTCAACTTCCTGAACCGGGGGCCTTTGGCTCCTTCAACGCCTTCATATCCCAGAAGATGATCCGCAGGAGGGCCAACAATACCTGCGTATGTCAGCTCTGTGTTTTGTATTGCGATACTTGGATCTAGATAAGTAGAACCCACCGATTTCTATTGTGTCTCCGTTCATCTCGCCCTCGATAGTCTCTTTCAGAGTAAGGAGGGCGATGTGGATGGCGTCTTCAAGCTCCAGCCCCTCAGTGTAGCGCTTCTCCAGGAACGTCTTGGCGCTGGTTGCATGCTTTCCAATGGCCGTGGCCTTCCAGGGATAGTAACTGCCGCTGGGGTCGACCTGGTACAAGCTGGGACCGCCCTTCAGGATACCACCCGTTTTACCAGTAGCTACTGTAGCCTTCTTGAGGTCACCCTCCTCGTCACCGCGTTGAGCTTCACCTGTTTCGGGCTCAATACCCTCATCCCAGCCAGCGATCAGCAAGCTGACGCCGTATGGTCGGACACCACCAGATTGTGTTGCTTCCTGCACGACACGTGCAACGTCTTGCACCAGTATCCGAGTTGGAGGGTACTCGTTATAGATGCGCTTGTAGCCAGTGTGAGAGACCTTGCGAGCCTTGTCGACTAGCACACGGTAATCCGGACCCATTCCAGCATAGACCATACCGATATCCGGTGTGATGAGGGAAATCTTGGAGAGGGAGGGAGGGTCAATGAGAGGGGAGGACGACTTCTTTTCGGTAGCGAGAACAATTCCATTTGTCGCTAAGAAAAAGGATGATGGTTAGAAGCTATTCTGGGTAGCTAGCGCAGTCAGTCTATTTGAATGAAGCTTACCTTTGATTCCGAGGGCAGTTACGCCTTGGTTGACAGCGTTCAGGGCATATTCTAGATTCAATCAGCATTGAAAATTCAGTAGAATAAGACAAAGCGCAGTACCAATTTGTACCAGCTTCCCACTGCAAGCTATTGTTAGCATCCGATGATCTGAACTGTCACCTGCAACAAGCTTCTCTTACCTGGGGGAGAAGGTGGTCAAAGAGAACGAGTAGCGATCAGCCATGGAGACGTCTTTTCAATTTTAGAAGCTCTGAAGAAGGTAGTAGAACTCTCAAAAAGATGGACAGGGTAGTATGAAGATAAAATGAAATTGCTGAAGTTCAAGTGAAGCTTTCCTCCTCCGAGCAACAGGCGACAAGGTGTTGACGCAGCAGCAGCTTAGGTCCGTCCGCCCAGTGCCAAGCCGTGTCTGGGGCGGTGACGATACAAATGCCAGAACTGGCTTACGCGAGCAGCTAGTGCTGTCTTTGCCTAAGGCTCCTCCTCTCTCGAAGCTCCACATCGCTTCTTTTAAGCTGGTTGAGGGCTTTTTTTCTTACCATTTCTCTTCCTTTCTCTCTCTCCCACAAATAATACGCACCAACACCCTTGTATTTATACCACCTGAGCTCCCGCCGGATGCTCTCGCACCAGATCTCTGGTAGATTTGGTTAATATGCTGTGACTCGAGCTTCTGAGCATTCCATTGCAGTATGAATGTGCATAATGAGCCACTCTGGCAGTGGCCTTCCAGCGTCCCTTCTAATACTTCAATGAACTCGGAGTCAAGCCAGACACCTCAAAACACTTACCAGTCCAGTGACGAAACCACAACTTCTGAGTTTCCCGAGCCTCCCAAGAAACACTATCCCAATCGTACTTGTCGCATCTGCTTGGAATCAGTTCCTCCTTCCTTCCAACCCCCTTCGGAAAGCCTGCCAGGTTTCCTCCAGCCCAAGCCGCGAGTTGTCTATGAGTCTTCTGACCCAGAGCTTGGCCGACTTCTTCGCCCCTGCAAATGCAAAGGTTCTTCGCGTTACGTTCACGAGGGATGCCTTCAGTCCTGGCGCCATGCAGATCCTGATTATGGAAAGAGAAACTATTGGCAGTGCCCAACCTGCGGGTTCCAGTACAGGCTAGAACGTCTGAAGTGGGCGCGCTGGATCAGTAGTGCATTTACCCAGCTTGTATTGACTTTGTGCATTTTATTGTTTACAGTTTTTTTGCTTGGTTTTATTGCTGACCCCATCATCAATCTTTATGTGGACCCGGTGGAAACGATAATCTACAAGGAATACTGGGAGCCTAGTACTGTGTCGGGCGCCTTGCCGAACGAATCAAGACCGTCTTGGGTAGAGCATTTCGTGAAAGGATTGGCTTCACTAGGTCTTTTGTCATTCATCAAGGCCATACTTGCATTGAGCCCATGGCAGTGGTGGAATCTGCGCAGTTCAGGCGTCGTCAGCAGTGGGAGGACCACCGGCAGGAGTCGAGCGGCTTCCATCAGTTGGATAGTCATCCTCATTGGTGTTGGTACCT